ATAGCAGTAACTGTAAGTGGACTATTGTAACAGGTAGGCTAAATCAATTGTAAGCTAGTAGGCCTACTATAATTACTATGCTCAAATGAGTTAGTGTGTTTCTATTATAGCAGTTAAAAGTCGTTTTCTTTAGCATTTATTTTCATTTTTAATTCAGTGATTTTAACTTTTAATTTAGTTATTTTAGTGCTTTAAAGAGCAATTTTAGATTGTAATGTTCTGCAAACTATAAAAGGTACAGCTGTCATAAAACCTGAGAGAAAGGCTGCATGGCTAGAAACTAATAAAAAATAAATTTAAAAAAAAGTCAATAATAGTATGTGGTAGACAGTGGTAATATCATTATGTTGCCATTGGTCAGTAGAGGAGCTTAGCTTAGTCTGACAGTTAGCCTGCTTTAGACCAGGTCAGTTTCCCAGCATAAGTTGCCACAGTGACTAGCTTGATCTAGGCCCATGTTAAATTTGCTTTATGGAACCAAATCCTTTGACAATGAGTCAGACTAACTGAAATAAGCCTGGCTTATTTGGTTAACTTGTTTTATGAAACAGGCCTCGAGGCATTAAAAGAGATCATATTTTCTCCATTGCATCGAATCGCATTGTGTTGAATTGAATCGCACTGCATCGTAATAGGGGTGAATCGTATCGCATCGGTAGCTGCTTCACATGTATCTTTAATATATCGTATCGTTGGCTACGCATCGAGATGCTTATCGCATCGGCCATGGAGTCATGGAGATGCACATACATACACACATATATATATATATATATATATGCGCACACACACACCTTATTAAATGCTATTTATATATTCTGTATACTATTTAAAAAATATATATAATAAAACTTGATTACTTTTATATTTTAGAATTATTTTTTATTTATTAAATATACAATTTATATGTAAATTAACACTACGAGTAATAAAATCAAGTAATTAAAAACATACAATGAATAAAATAAGCATGCATTTTTTTTCTTCCTTTTGGTTTTGGCAAAACAATATGACCCAACCTAGATTCACTCATGAAAGCTCGAGTACGGGCCAGTGTATGATGGGTAATGTGAACTTACTGAGCCCAACCATGCCGTCAGGGACTCTGTACTCTTCTGTGAGAGACGAGGGACGTACGCTACACAAAGAAAAACAAACGCAACAGTCAGGAAAAGTACCAGCAGAAACATACGTTCAGGTCTTACTAACTTGCGGCCGAAAGCCTTTTCAGAAAAACTGCCATGAATCCATGTAAAAAATAAAAAACCAAAAAGGAGGGATATACATTAAGATCGTTACGTTTTGAAGACACCACATTAAAAGTCCAACTTTTACACGAGCACCTCAAGACCCCTGTATTTGGCTTAACACGTCTGATAGAGTCAGCGGAAACCGAACCCAGCCTAATCATACAGGCCTGTGTAGTTATTCCTGCCTTCCCCAAGCGCTCAGATCTGAGATCTGTCTAACGACTCTGAACAGAGCGCACAGGAGGACTGTCTTACCTCTGCTGGGAAAGGGCAGCCAGCTGGGCTCCGATAGCTGTGGATGAGAGAGGGATAAAATCACTGCGCTAAAAATACACAGACATTTGCTTTGAGTAGCTAAAAGTGAGTGTGTGTTCATATGAGCAAAAAAAGCAAAGAAAGACGCACACAGTGCTGAAGCGTTGTCTCGGTCAGATGCCATCTTCTTACACTCAGGCTGATCTGAGGGGAAAACACAAGAACAGCTCAAAAACAATCTCAGGAGAGACAGATGGACAGATCCAGAGCGCGCCTCTCTGCCGCCGTACCTCCGTCATCCAGCGATCGCTTCTGTGCCGCGAAGGCATAACTCTCCGCTCCGCCGTTATTGCTCATGGGGGGACCGGTGACGTCTCCGCCGATCTTTGCTGCGATCTGGAAAACACAAAACACCACATTTATACAGCAAAATCAGCATGAAGTTACTATTAATTGCTAGTCACATTAGACATTTTCCTGTAAAATTATGCATTGAAATATATATAGATACTACTGTTCAAAAGTTTAGGGTCAGCAAGTTTCCAAAGAAGTCTCTTGACTCACCAAGGCTGCAATTATTTGATCAAACACAGTAAAAATGTTATATTTTATTACAATTTAAAATAACCACATTTATACAGCAAAATCAGCATGAAGTTACTATTAATTGCTAGTCACATTAGACATTTTCCTGTAAAATTATGCATTGAAATATATATAGATACTACTGTTCAAAAGTTTAGGGTCAGCAAGATTCCAAAGAAGTCTCTTGACTCACCAAGGCTGCAATTATTTGATCAAACAGTAAAAATGTTATATTTTATTACAATTTAAAATAATGCTTTTCTATGTGACTATATTGCTAAATGTAATTTATTCCTGTGATCAAAGCTGAATTGTTTGCATTACGTCAGTGTCACATGATCTTTCAGAAATCATGCAGAAATGCTAATTTGCTGATTGAGAAATATTCCCCATTATCACCATCAGTGTTACACAGGGCTTAATTCTGCTTTGTTTTTTTGGACAAACACTATTGCTTTCCATAGTATTCTTTGAAATGCCTTAGAAAACAACGTGAAAACACGGTAAATAAATGTCCAAAACTCTATATGGAAAGTACCATTGTCTATCTATCATCAAACCACTGCTGTAAGTTACCCTAGTAATGCCCACACATTATATACACACACATATAGTTAAGTCTATAACCCTAAATAGCACTGCTTTTACCATGGTACCACGATGCTAGCATGTTTACAGCATGTGCACCCCAATAAAACCATGGTACTAGCATTACACGTTAAAACACATGATAGTACCGTGGTTCTTTTTGTTAGGGTGCAAAAGGGGGGAAATACCATGGTAATACGATGTTTATTGGACATTTACAGTAGTAGCGCAGCGCCATGTTAACGTTACGTTACCCCGTGGACTAGTGTAAATACAGTGATACGGGAATATAATCACTCGCTACATACCGCGCTAAATACCTATTCTGTGCGAACATTTCTGTACCATAGTACCGCATTCGTTAGTAACGGTAACTAGTAACCAGATATAGCTATTGTTCAAAACCATACGCGATCGCGGCTCGTGCTAACGGATGATTGTGGCGCGCGCCGGCTCATGTGCCGCGGCCCTCGCGCTGACCCACAAACGCGGCCCGCAGTGCGGATCTCTCACCTGCCGCGCGCGCTGCACCGCGTCGGCGAACGCGTCTTTCTTGAATCCACCGGCACCGGGCGGCGGCATCGCGCTGTACTCAGACATGTCGTCCGTGCGGAGGGTGAAGTGTGCGGGAGACGGCGGGGAGCTCTAGGCCTGGCGGAGGTGCGCAGACGCGGGAAGACGAGCGAGACAAACGCATGGAAGGAGGGACTAAAGGCCTGCGGGTCTGAAAGCGGCCTCCTATAGGCGTTCTTAATGAGTGGCTGTTGCGAGGACCAATCAGAGGGCAGCTGGAGGCGGGCGTAGCGTGCGTATTGGACAATTCACCCAATGAGAGAGGGATGACCGAACGCGACGCACAGAGCGTGCCGCTGTGTGAGGGAGCCAATCAGCACTGGGCAACGCATGAAATAGCCCAATGAGGTTCGAGAAAACGCTGATAGGCAATGATGGACGTTCGGATCAGCGTATAGGCTCTTTAGGACCGTTTAACCTTGGCGGTATATTATTCTGCTGCTCAGTGCATTTTCTTGCCATTTTTGTGGGTTAGTGAAATAGTTTCCGTACAGCAGAGAGATGAGCTGGTGTTATAATGATGATAAACACCGTCAAGAAAGACTCTGAACTGTTTAATTTTTCTTCAGCTGAAACAGTCGAAAGAAAACCATCATAAACTTTACACTGATGACACTTTACAACATTAGCTGGAAAAAAAATACATGCATGGATGCATGCTTCGAAAACATTCCACTGAAATAATACGCCTTTGGCATATTATTGTGACGTGACGTGGAAAAGTGAAACGTGACGTGGCCAAGTATGGTCACCCATACTTGGAATAAGTGCTCTGCATTTAACCCATCCAAAGTGCGCACACACAGCAGTGAACACACACACACCGTGAACACACACACAGAGCAGTGGGCAGTCATTTTTGCTGCGGCGCCCGGGGGCAGTTGGGGGTTCGGTGCCTTGCTCAAGGGCACCTCAGTCGTGGTATTGAAGGTGGGAGAGAGCGCTGTACATTCACTCCCCCCACCTACAATCCCTGCCGGTACGAGATTCGAGATCTCTAACCATTAGGCCACGACTTCCCACGACTTTGTGAAGGCCTTGTTCATGAAACACAAGCACAATTAATGTCTGTGTAAATAAAGTGTCATGAGATCATTTACACAAACATGTGTTTCATGAGTGAGACCTAACACTATTTAGGGTGGATGATATGCAAACTGGGACGCAATGCAGGATTTTAGAATCAGTTAAAGGAATAGATCGGCCAAAAATTAAAATGTGCTAAAAATGTACTCGCCCTCAGGCCATCGAAGATGTACATTGGTTTGTTTTTTCATCTAAACAGATTTGGAGAATTACATCGCTTGCTCATCATTGGATCCTCTGCAGTGAATGGGTGCCGTCAGAATGAGAGTCCAAACAGCTGATAAAAACATCACAGTAATCCACACCACTCCAGTCCAAGCTGTGTGTTTATAAGAACTGGACTGTTTTCACCTGCAAATGCTGCTAAATCTGTGCATATTTATCTCCTGAACCAGATGAGATGACTTTTTCACTGCAGAAAGCAGTATTATGGATTATGGAGTCATATTTTGGCTGGAAGTAACAGTTTGAATTTAAAATGCTTTAATGATGGATTTGTTTCTTACAAACATGCAGCTTTTGACTTCACAAGACATTAACTGATGGACTGGAGCAGTGTGTGGATTATTGTGATGTTTTTATCAGCTGTTTGGACTCTCATTCTGACGGCACCCATTCACTGCAGAGTATCCACTGCTGAGCAAGTGATGCAATGCTACATTTCTCCAAATCTGTTCCCATGAAAAAACAAACACATTTACATCTTAGATGGGCTGAATGTGAGTACATATTTAGCTACTCTTCATTTTGGGGTGAACTATTCAATCTGAGTTACGGAATCTTCAGTTGAGGATTCTAGAACTCTTGATTGGTTGGTATAGTGATTTCAGAGCACACAGGGATTCAGTACAGTAGAAGAGGTGTATTACTGGACCACAGATAAAACATACATGTTTCTCGAAGCAGAGGCACTTTCAATTGTACTATAAGTTCAAAGGGAGGAAGTTAGTTTATTGTCCATTCCCATTTGGAGTTCAGTAGTGTGCACTGGGTTAAACACACACACAGTACAGTACAGCACATGCTCACACAGTCGTTCATTTTACCGCATCCAGAGGGCCGTACCCTGTATACCTGAAAATCAGGGTCCTGTTGACCAACAAACACACATGAAGAGCACATCATGAACCTCAGTAATTCAGGATTTGGTCAGAACAGCACCTCTTAGATTCTGCATATTTCAGTGTTTGGATTCAGTTTGTCGTTCTTCCTCACATCCAATGTTTTTGGTGAACATCACTCCAGTGATAGGCTTAAATAAACAAGTCTTCGATTGTATTTTTTCTACACACACATGACCTGTCTCTATTTCTCTCTCTCTCTCTCTCTCTCTCTCTCTCTCAGGTTCCCACTCCCAGTACTTTCCTCATGTGCTCGTAGACGACGTAGGAGATGCTGACCGCCGGGATGACCTTGAGGAAGTTGGGAGCGATGCCTCGATAGAGTCCCACCACACCCTCCTGAGCCACGATATTCCTGAACAGGGTCAACATGGACAACTGAGGAGCTCCCTTCACTGACGCTGAGGAACCAGAAGAGAGAATAGTATCTTAACTTCTTATGATGCCAATAAACCTTCAGAATTAGTGGTATTTTAGTATCAATAGTATATTATTATAGTTTTATTTGTATTTCGATTGTTTTTATTTGTAGATTTCAATTTTAGCTGTGTAATTTTGTCATTCTTATTAGTCTTTGTAAATATGTCTATATAGTTTTAATTTTGTGTTTTAATTATTTGAGTACTTGAAGTTTAACGAAACAAATTGAGAAATGTTGCCTTGCTAAAAACTGATTTTTCAAAGTTATAATAAACAAAGCTTATTTGAGCATGTTTTACAAGAAAATACTATTTCAGTTTTTCAAAAATGTTATGCTAAATTCAGTGTTACTTGCCATTTCTTTGTGATTGTAAAATTGACTAGCAATTTCTGAACGAAAACTGTTTCTACACCAATTGTTTTTCAGTGTAGCTGAAATAATGTTATATTTTATTTCAATTAATGTTTATTTTATTTCAAGTAACGAAAATGTTTTTGTTTACAGTTTTAATTAAGGATAACAGCACTTATCTGAATCCGGGGATATCACTTTAAAACACTGGATATAAATGTAGAAATGTGCATAAAAAAACGTATGCGGTCAAATGAGGTGCATAATTGTGTATTTGAGAAGAAGCCATGCACTTGAACTATGATGGAAATCCATTTACTGAATAAATTCCTCAATGTGCAAAAAAACCCCTCATCTGTCTCACACGATTGCATTCCCAAACATCAGGCGTTTGAATGCAAGATAACATAGCAGTGTTTTTATTGCATTTTGTCTGCGCACTTTGAGCCGCAACTCAATAACTATGTGAGGGGAAAATAACAGCAACATAATATTTTATTGGTGATACTTTTCACCGGTTTCCTATACATTGACAGTTTTGTTCTTTTGAACATTAAGGATGGAAACTATTTTTTATTCTCAAATATTTTATGTGATAATCCATTTTTCCACATAAGTTAACATTTGTAGCCTGGGAAGAAAGCACAGCTCTCGTCTGATTCTGCGTGTGTGTCTCACCCTGTGCCTGCATGCGTGTTCGGATGAGGGCGAGCGGGTAGGAAGCCAGCTGTCCGCAGGTGCTGGACACAGTGCCGCAGCCCACCAGCACCAGGACGCCCGGGTCGGGTGAGCCCTCCGCGTGCCGCTGCAGCCAGCCGTTCTTCAGCGTCTGAGAGAGGAGACAGCGTGAGAGACAGCCTTTATGAAGGAATCCTTCTCAACACACACATACACACACACACACACCTCGTAGATGGCGAGGTCTATGCCTGCATACGGGATGATGCCCAGCATGTTGGGCAGGTATCCTTTATAAAACGCCAGAACGCCCTCCTTCTGCAGGATCTGCTTGGCGCAGTCCGCCACACTCGAATACTGGCCTGTTTTACGTAGAGTAAGACGAGTCTTCAACACCTACAGAACGACAGAGACAGAGAGGAACAGAGAAAACCAATGCAGAGTCATGACATTAAAACAATCACGGTTCCCACAAAAAAAATGTTTTCGACATTGATAATAATCAGAAATGTTTCTTGAGCAGCAAATCAGCATATCAGACTGATTTCTGAAGGATCATGTGACACTGAAGACTGTCACAGTCTAATGATGCTGAAAATTCAGTTTTACATCACAAGTAAAAATTACATTTTATAATATATTCAAATAAAAAACTGTTTATTTTTTATTTTTTAAATATACATTTTTAATCAAATAAATGCAGCCTTGGTGAACAGAAGAGACGTTTTTCAAAAATTACTGAACCCAAAGTTTTGAACGGCAATGTACTAATTACTGTCAGTGTAAATTTTTTAAATATTAATATTAAAAAGTTTATAAATGTAAGATGCATATATATATATATATATATTTATTTATTTATTTTACATTTTAATTAAACCTAAATGTAAACTATATTTTTTAACTAATAAATATATTTTATAAAAACTATTTTCTTTATAAGTATTGTTTATTGTGAATATTATTAATAAATGTGGTTATTTATTGAAAATATGTATATTTTTCTCACATTGCTAATGCCAACATTTTTTAGAAGACTTCATTTATTTTACTTAAGTCCATTGTATTTCCAGGACTCCACTTCACACTCCATAAACCACAGCCATTCACAGCTCACTGCTTTATTCTGAAATGGGCCGCTGAATGCAGAGCACTGTGCTTGTGCTTTATGTAAGGCCTTTGGTAATGTGAGTGGACATGTAGACGTGTGTGTGTGTTATAACAGTGAGGTCTTGACATATAGTGACCTTGACGTTCAGTGTGTGTAGGAACCAGCTGTCGTGTGTGTGTGTGTGTGTATTTACCTCCATAGGGTATATGACCGTTTGAGCCATAGCTCCAGCCAGTGATCCAGCGACGAATCTCTCTTGAACTTTCAGAGTTCCTCCCTCTTTACTGCCTCTCATCAAGCATTTAATCTGCAGACACACAGATGCAGGCTGAGTTTTGAGTCTCTGTCCACACGGCTGAGTGTAAGACAAAGCTGTACCTGTTCATAGGCCAGGAATTTGATGGCTGTCTCCGGTGCGATCTTCAGCACGTTGATGCCGTTCCCCCTCCACAGCGCAGTGAGGCCGCCTTCCTTCACCATCGCACGCAGACTGCGCCACACGTTCCCCTTATCAGAGCTCTGGCCATGCACCTGCACATCATTTTAATGTAAAGCTTTAGTCTAACTAGATTACAATTAAACCAAACACACCTAAAAATATGAACTAAATAAGAAAGTTCAGTTGCAGTGTCTGAAATGACCTCCAGGGGTCAGTGTGGTGCTGAAAATATAGACTGCGACAGTTAGGTTCAGAAAGTAAAAATGTATTTCATTTTATCCACAGACATATAAACCTAACTCATAAACCTTTAAAGACAGACCTACTGTGACCTTCAAGGTTGTTAATCAATGGGTTATGCTTTTGTTGAAGCAATCAGCCCACATTAGTTCATCTTATTTTTTAAATAATCATGTCCAACAGTGGTGAAAAACTACATTACCCATAATTCTGCACAGACTCTTCACCAATCACAGAATCATAGCAAAAGAACACTGCACTCTAACTAAAATACTTACTCGCATAATATGCATATTTTGCAATAAACATAAAATACGTTTCTATACACATAATCAACATCTTTAATCCATAGTTTCATATTCCTCCTTTCATTCACGATGCTTGACAGAATTGTAGTTTTTTTCCTTCACTAATACTGTTAAATACATAGTATTGTACCTTTGTCTTTTTGTCTGATTTTCAAATACTTTTTGCGTCAAATCAAACTTTGTAATAATTCACCATGTAGCTGGTTGGTTTGGTTCAGGGTTTAGTTAACTAAAAAATAATTAGTTTTTAACTAGTAGTTAACTGAATCTAAAACAAAATCTAAAAAAGTAATTGCTACCTGAAATAAAACAAACATTAACTGAAAAAATAAATATATAAAAATTGTAAAATTATTTCATTCCATTTTTCATTTTCTTTTAGTTTAACTTTTTATATACTAAAATAACTAAAACTGAAATAAAAATGATAAGAACTGTATAGACATATTTAAAATAAAAAAATAAATAAAAAAGCACATAATTACTAAAACTTTAGATAAAACAAAAAATGTAATAAAAACAAAATATAAAAATAAAAACGAATTAAATTTTTTTTATTATTATTATTTTATAAAATATATTATCATGGATACTTGCAGTTATATAGAAATACCTTTTATCCTTGTTCACACAAGCCACAGCTTTGCTAGATTGTATTGCGTGAGCTACTTTGAAAGCATCTTAAGAGCAAACCTCGAAAGGAACCTCTAAACGTGCATCAAAGACCAGATGGTTTCATTGAAGACCGAAAGCGACTGATCCCAGACCAGCGCGGTCTCACCTGCAGAAAGACCTTGAGTCTGTCGAGTGGCGCGGTTCCTGTCCTGGACACCGATCCCGCCACGGCTCCTGCCATCAGCTGCCGCCACACGAACCCTGACTGCTTCTCCTTCTCCGAGAACTCGTCTGGGACCGTCAGATGCTCTCCGATGTCCAACATCTACACAAACACACCAACAAATACACAACAGTGGAGTTACAGAAAGAAAGAGGCTCCATTTATAGTCATGAAAACCTCACTGTTTCAGTTTTTGCGTCGTACCACCGAGTGTTTCCAGTACTGAGCGATTTCCTCCATGTTGTGCAGAGGGTTAAACAGGAAGTGATCTCGCCACTCGAACCAGTCGATGGTCATGGAATGGTCTTTATCCATACTGTACCAACACATTTCACAAGCACCGCATGTCAGAAAATCACACCTGAAAAGCACTTTACATACATGCCAAGTACAAAACCACACACCTTTGCAGGATTTTGGAGGCCTGCTCCAGCGTGACGTCCACGCCGAGATTGTGTAACGTCTGCTGGATCTCCGCGACGTCCAGTTCACCTGCAAAACATACAAACAATGTGTCATTGTACTGAAATGTGAGATAATAGAGCTTAAGACTGAATTAATGGAACTGATGCTAATGCTAATATGATAGAGGCTAACAGTGATAATCATGGCTGATGGTAATATCATAGCTTCTGATGCTAATATGATGTTATAGATGTTAGAGTATTTAGGCACCAGTGCAAAAATTAAGATATAGATGCTAACAGCGTTGCAATAGCATAGCTGCTAATGATGCTGTGAGGGTATAGATGATTACAGTGATGTAAAATCACAAATGTTAATGCTAATATTAATTTATGTATGCTAATGTAGCATAGCTACTAATGGTACAGATGTTATATCAAATATGCAAATACTAATATAAGGTTATAGATGCTATGTTATGTAATGGGATAGATTGTAGGGTTATTGTGAGGATATATATGGCAAATTTTATTAATTATCATATCTTAATGTAAAAGTAAAATGTGAACATAAAAATTATGTATACTCTAACAGAGAATTAAGACAGATTCTGACCAGTGTTTTTATTAACTAAAACTGAAACTATTAAATATCATTGTAGTCGACTGAAATAAAATCTTGAAATATTCATACATACTGTAATGGAATATACAGTGAATAATACTAAAATAACACTGATTCTGATAATGCTGTGAAGTTGACAGAAGCTAACCGTCATTGTTTCGGTCCAAGCTGCGAAACATGAGTCTGAGGCGTTTCTCATGTGAACGCAGATACTCGACGAACTCTTCAAAATCCAGCTGGCCGTCGTGATTGACATCTCCAGCTCGTACAATCTGCTGAATATAGGGCATATGCAGAGAGATAGAGGGGGGGAGAGAGAAATGGAGGGACAGGGGGATGCCGGGATCATTAGGAAAGGTGGGATGGGGTGCAAATGAAAGAGAAAAGCAGATTAAAACCATGCAAAGCCACCGGTCCACGGCACCAACATCAAACATGAGCACTCAGACACTAATCATCGAATCTAAACACAGGTTCATTTCATTCGGATTAAATGCATTAACAAAATGAATGTAAATGTACAAACAGAGAAAGCCAAGCGCACAAAACAGTAGATTTACAACGTGTTTCATTCATTTATAGACACTTAATCGCTATATTAGTGTTAAATCCACATAATAATTTACTCTCACATGGATCCACTCCAAGACGCTGATCTTTTGCACAGTCTGCAGCAGCCTACATGTGTGTTTCTGTGTGAAGTTTAGCACTTTCTTGCCTAAATCATTCATCACTATGCATAATGCATAATACAAACACATGCACACATGCTTCCAAACCTCAAAAAGCAAAGCACTCTACAAAATTATCAAGTTTCAAAAATCAATATGACACAAGACTGTCCCAGGCAAACAGATCAATAGTCTAATCACTTACGCTGAACTATAAACTATTGTATACAGTATGTTGCAAACAGCAGTGTTGGGGGTAGTAACGCATTACAAGTAATGTAATCAGATTACTTTTTTCAAGTAAAGTAACTTACAAGAAAATATCTGAGTTACTTTTCAAATAAGTAATGCAAGTTATTTTTGCCCCATTTATTCACTGACACGTCTTCTGTCCCTGTGTTGAGAGAAATTTGGAGTGAGGTGCAGAGGCACTTTCTTCAGTCTGTGGCTTATTATTTCACTTTTGGTGTGAAAGGGTCTTCACAGCTGCCAAAAATCTAACTTTTAGGCTTTTTGTTATTAAAAATAAATAAGCAAGCCCAACCCAGGTGACTAAAAGTAATGCAAAAGCAACGTAATGCATTACTTTTCATGAAAAGTAACTAAGTATCGCAATTAGTTTATTTTTTTATACAATACTGTATTGCATTACTTTTAAAAGTAACTTCCCCAACACTAAAAAAATCCAGCGTGCAGGATGCTGTGGAGAGATTAGATATCAAAGATTCATTTAACATATGTGTCGGTTTGATCATAACTTGGCTGAGGTTCTCATTGTTTCCTAGGCCTTGGGTTTGACCTGCTGGCATTACATCACTATAACCTTTTTAGAAAGCAATTCATTGATTAGAAATGTAGAACTTAGGAGTTTGATCAAATCACTAAACCAAGTATGAGCAAAAACAGTGATGCTTGACTTAGCAAACACACTAGTCTGAAGGAAACCCTTATTTCAGAAGGCAGCTGGAGACCCTGTGATGTTGATGTAATGCCCTTCCTCTGTTCCTGCCATTGACCTTGAGATCATTAACCATTCATAAACTGGTTTATTAGTGGTGTAACACAGTGCTCTAATCTGCCTCGACACGGAGGCCTTCGAAACAAGAATCCTGCTCTGCAGTCGTACTTTTATCATATGAAGCATTATGAGTTTGAGTATGTTAGCAAGTAAGCAGCTACATAATGGGTTATACTCTCACTAATGGCTCCAGCATATCTGTCTAATCTGAGCTGAACATCAGGCGCCATCCTAACCAGCAACAAGTGATTTATTTTTTTTTGGTCGCTTGCCTGCTTTCTATATCTGGAGCACTGTGTGCGCAGTCTATCCACAGTGAAATCTCAGCAGCCTGAAATCCTGTTTACATGATCATATATTAAATATTGTGGTTTCTACAGGTTTATCCCATTTTGTGTACTTCTACACTATTCTACACCATTTTTGAAGTGTAATAGTGTGAGCAGTGCACTACACGCAGCTACACGTCATTGGAAACGTAATTTCCTTCAAATGGAAAATCTACAGAAATAGTTTCATTTAAGATAACACTAATGTGTGTACTTAGTGTAACCAATCCACCTTATTTGTAACATACAAGCTTGAATGTGCGAGTCTTCGCTTCCAGTAATTTTAGCTGCACAAAAACACTACGCTTGATGTTACAAAAAGATATTTGCTCTCACATCAGTCTAATTTGTTATCTTAATCATAAGCACATTGGTTTGTAGCGCAAATACCTCTTTCTTGCACTGTGGAATTCTTCTAGTTATTTAACGATAGCGGCTAATTAACCGGAAGTCTCGCACATTCACAGGAAATTGTTTCATTCAGTGTTGAAAAATGAACTGCGTCCCAAATGACGCACTATAAACTATGCACTATTATACTATGTACTCAACCATGTAGTGTATGGATTTTATAAGGTTTTTTGTCATTAATAATCAGAATCTGATCGCCCGTCCCCCTTCGCGACGTAATTAAAACTGCTACAGCTAATTTTTGTCACACTGTACAACAATACTTACTGTTTTTGCATTATTGTAAGGGGTAGATTTAGGGTTGTGGTAAGAGTAGATGTTGCATCCCTAAATAAAACACAATCTAATAGGTAGAAAATTAAATTTCATTGTTAGTTTCCGGTCGGAGCTGTATCCCTTCTAGCCACAACCATGTCCAACATTCCACACTTCGTTATTTTTGGTTATTTAAGTGCATTATCCGGTTATAAATGCACTTTTTCTTTTTGGAATTTTACACACACTACTTGTACTACAAAATGTCATAGAATAGTGCACAAGTACACGATTTGAGATGCACCTATGGGGTGGACACATCAGCGGAGGGTGAACCAACTCCAGGGTCATCATAAACATCATAAACCCCTGTTTTTAGGCAAGAACCAGACATGGGTGTCATGTAGGCTAAAAAAATGTTTAATGGGACTGAATTTGTATTTAACGTGATTACAATTTAATAAAAACGTTAGAAATTGATAATTATATAACGTTTCCTTTCCACGGTTATTCAAACAGCGAATAAATTCTATATAGAAAGTGACATTATCAGTAACATTGATCTATCGCGCGAGTTTAACCACTCTCATAAAAAAACAAAAAACTATTTTATAATCACTGAAGCTGAATACACTGTTAAATTAATCTCTTACTTACATCTGCGCTTTGTTGTTTATGATGAGAGAATTCGCAAGAGTCCGGAATTCAGTCAGCGATCGCTCGCACACTCAACAAAACTGATGAGTTTGAACGATGACTCATCTGAACGCTTCTGATTGGCCATCGCATTCCTAAGCTCAACAGAATTGTGTGTGATTGGTTAAAATGCGCAACACTGTAAAAACGCCTCAAATGAAATACGCTGCAACATGAGCAAATCTTAATTTAATGCCGCAATCGGCACTGTCTATTCATATTCACTTTGTTAGAAACAGACATAATAGATTTAATTTGTTTGTGCAGGGGCATTTTTGTCCAATTTAGTGGCATTTTTGCCCCAAGTCCCGTGGCCAGTGTAGCCTTACACACGCTCCGCCTATAAATTTATGGGTGGACAGAGTAAGTACACAATGTACAGTACCTGGTTAACGACCATAGACTGTAGGTTTGCGACGCAATTTTTATCTTTCGACTTGCGCGGAGTAGCCACGCCCACTGCGAAATCTCATTGGCTCGAATCGCACTCTGCATTCTTGAATATTAAGCATCAGATAGAATCTGATTGGCTGCCTGCGATCGTATCGCGTACTGTGGCATTTTCGCTTTCAGTGTTCATACGCAGATGATCACGTGACCTGGAGGCGCAGGTTATCATCTCCACGTTCAATCATAAACCTGTGAATTCACGGACAGTTATCCTGTACTAGAAGCACCCTTCCGTTATGATTGCATGCATTAGGTTTCCTCCGTACCTCCTCCACCGAGCTCCACGACATCCCCCGCGCGGCGAGTCCGATGCGCAGCTCGTTCACATCGATCCGTCCGTCCTTGTTCAGATCCAGCAGCGCGAAGAGCTTGTCGATCCGAATGCATTTGACTCTCTTTCCTCCATGCAACCCAAAAGGAGAAGTTTAGATGAATGTCCATGCTGTATGTTTTCTTATGATGTATATGAATGGGGACAAATGCTATCAAGCTCCAAAAAGGAGTCATTTGATAGATTTATGAGAGGAACAGACCCAAATTTAAGTTGTTTTCCTGATCTCATCTGCATTCGCATATTGAGATCTTTCTGCATGAAGACACTTGGACTTTAAATATAGTGCGCCAGTTGTTTGGACTACTTTTCTGTCATTTCTGAAGCCCAACAGTGTCCATTTCTCCAGCATCTTGCATGTCCATTTTGTTCAGTTTTCCAACAGGGTCTGAAACAGAAAATTATGCAACAGTCTCCCACAATAATGTTCACTTTAAATGCATTCACTATCACTATGATCAACAATTATAGCTTGACAAATGACAGTGACTGCATGGAAACAAGCTATTCTGTGAACTGATGAACAGAACATAAGATCAGCACACAGATAACCTAATGCACACCTGTTGCCTTCAGTCACTGTTCCCGACACAAATACAGGTGATACACGCTTTCTGAAGAAAACCGCTGTCAGCTGCTGTCCACACCAACTGTATAACATCAGAACAGCCTGTAATCAGCACTGCCTGTGATGTGGACAGTCACTGTGTGGTGTTCTCACCCAACAGCTGTCTGTGTTGTTTCACGATCTCAGGATCAGATTAATGTCACTATATAACAGCAGGACACAGAGACAGAGAGAGTCAAGCAGAGCTGGAGACATTTGATCGATTCTTGTGATGTGTGAGGGGCTGTCTGCCATCCCCTCCTCATGCCTGGAGAAGTGAGTATCAGCGCTTTTGGAAAGACAGATACTGGAGCATTGAGCTGTGTTTGGATGTGAAACTGTGAATTGATGTTTCAGGGCGAAGGGCATGAGGGTCAAACTGTCCCACCTGGCCGAAAAGCAGGAGTGGGTTTACAAACACAGGTAACAAGTGCACTGCTCTCGTATAAAGCTCAATATAAATCTGCATTTGTGGCATAATGTTGATTACCACCACAAAAATCATTTATACTGTCCTTGCTTTTCTTTTAAAAAGCAACAAAAATTGGAGTTAAAGGTAGAGTTCACCCAAAAATTAAAATTCTGTTATTAAAAGGTGGTTTTGCTGGTTAGATGGTCCAAACTGGTCATTGATGGTCATAGCTGTTTCCAGCTGGTGTAGATCAGCTAAACTGCTTGCCAGTTTTTGATCTGCTAGAGGTAGACCATCTCGGTCAGTTTGGTTAGACCTAGTAGACCTCCAAAAAACAGCAACTATGTTGCACAAACCAGTCTGACCACCTCAAAGGGTTCACCCCAAAAATTTTGTAAATGTTTACTCGCCCTCATGTCGATCTCTTCGGAACACAAATTAAGATATTTTTGATGAAATCGAGCTCTCTGACCCTTCCATAGACAGCAATGTAATTAACACAATCAACGTCCAGAAACGTAGCAAGGAGAACGTTAAAATAAAACCACGTGACATCAGGGGTTCAACCGTCATTTCACGAAGTTATGAGAAATCTTTTTGTGCGCAAAGAAAACAAAAATAACAACTTTTCCTCTGCGTCACCCTATAGCGCCATTTTGGAGAGTATCACATACGTAAACAGCCTATCCGCGTTCATATTATTCTCACAGGCAGGGCCGTCCTTAGCTGACGCGGGGCCCGGTGCGAGGTAGGGAGCGGGGCCCCCCTCGGTCCGTTTGCCGCAGGGCCCGGTGCGACTGCACCAGTTGCACCCCCCTAAGGACGGCCCTGCTCACAGGTTACACCTTGTCTACACCGGACACAAGCTGCGCGACAAAATACTATAGAACTCATTATAATCAGTGATGCTGTCTACACTGGATGCGGCGCGGCACGACACGACAAATCCCCGACAGAAAACTGCTGCTGCGTTCTATTTATGATGTATTGACTTATTGATTTTCAACGGTCGCTTTGTAGCGTCCAGTGTACTAGACAGACTTTAGCTGTTGAACCCTAAAACGACCGTTAAGTCTAACGAGAAATGTACGGCTGAATAATACACAGTTAAACTGTTAATTATGTATATAATAATTTATATATATTTTGTGGTAATCAATATTATGCCACAAATGCTATCGATTAAGTTTAACTTGTACAGAACCCTACGTATTGTTCAAGACATAAACAAGCTGAACTAAGTAATAAAAAGCATCTATTGTTTTCTTCAGAGCGAATGAGGAGAAGCTGCCTCAGGACCTGGAGTCTCTGCTCAACAGCAAGCGTGAGAGGACTTTCCTAATGATTCAACTCCACGAGCTCACTTCTCTGCACTGCTTCCTGCGCTCGGAGCTCAGCGAGGAGAACCTGGAGTTCTGGCTGGCGTGAGAGGAGTACAAGAGTGCATCCGGGTCCCACATCTACAACCTGTTCATCAACCCTGAGATATATATATATATATATATATTTAAATAAATTAAATTAACTAAATTTTATAAAATGTATTACAATTTTAATTCAATTTAAATTAACTATTTTATAAACAAATTAATATTTGTTTTAATTTATTAAAGTTGAATTACATTTACATAATATGCTTTTGTATAATTATTTTGATTTTAAGTATATAGATTGTACTGTATTATTCTAAAAATTACTAAAATATAATACAAAATAAATTTACTTTATATAAATCTGTATAATATCATCCAGAAAATTGGAATATTAAAAAGGATAATCAAGTATTGATAGAGATGTGCATTTTACATGGCAAAAGGCTCATTGCCATTTATTGGAAAAAGACAGAAAGGCCTACCATAACTCATTGGTTAAGAGAAATATCTTCATGCATTGCAATGGAAAAGATAACCTATATGCTTAAGGGTAAACAAGCTACATTTTTATTTTTTATTGAATGTAGGGATATTAACAATATAATAGAGGATCAAAATTCTTGATTTGGTATTTAAATATATTTTAATGTGCATTATATTAACCCCTTACAACTGCGGTTTTTATTGTTTGCAATGGATTATTAAATCTAACTTCCAAAGAACAGACTGTATTAACCCTTTGTTGGTTTTGTGCGTTACACTTTTTATGTAATATGAGCCCCTAGTGTTTGTTTGTTTGTGTTCTTTTCTGTGCATAGTAAGTATTGTTACAGACACGGTATGTACATGTGTCAGTCTTGTGTTTCAAGAAAATGTAATAAAAATAATATTACAAAAAAATCTGTATAATAATGTATTTATATATTTAATTATGCTTTTCTTCAAATAATATATCTATTTTTGCATTATACCTATGAAAATGTTCGAGAGAAATGTGTTTAACTGTCATAAAAAATATTGTTGTAATGCAAAACATCTTTACGGACCTAAAAATAGGCTTCATTTTCTTTTTCTAAAATGTGATTTCTTGTTTCTTTCTCCTGGTTTTAAAGTGAAATGCATCTCAGGCATATGTTCTGGACAGTTTTCACTCTCATACGATGTGTTTCTCAGGTGAATCTGGACAGTGAGACCCGCGAGGCGTTGACGGGGCTGATGGAGGATCCCTCAGCGGACACGTTCGGCGAGGCTCAGCAACGGATCTTCTCCCTGATGGCTAAAGACTCGTTCCCACGTTACCCACGCTCCTCTTACAGCCAGCAGCCTCTCAAAGTCCAGTGAGACACGCTGTGCTGGCAAACCCTGCGTATCTGAGGTCTAGACCAGATCTGCAGTTAATCTGTAGAGACGCAGGGTCAAAATAGAAGTGTTTTGCAGTCAATCACACACTGAGAGCCAATCAGAGATCTGGAAGCTCAAGGTCGCCAGACAATCGAGGCTGAACAAAAAAAATAAAGCATTCAGCCAATCACAGAACGAGCAGCACGTCCTTGACCGCAGGAAAACCTTAAGGGATTTTACACTCGCAGGCTAAGAAAGAAAATGAGTGCGGCTGCTTAACAGTGGAAAAAGTAGTCTTAAGTAGCACAGATATATTTGTAGCAATAGCCAGCATTGGGTCAAAATTATTGATTTTTCTTTTATGCCAAAAATCATTCGAATATTAAATAAAGATAGTTCCTTGAAAATATTTTGTAAATTTCCTACCGTAAATATATCAAAACATAATTTTTGATTAGTAATATGCATTGCTAAGAACTTCATTTGGACAGCTTTAAAGGTGATTTTCTCAATATTTCGATTTTTTTTGCACCCTCAGATTCCAGATTTTCAAATCTCTGCCAAATATTGCCCTCTCACAACAAACCATACATCAATGGAAAGCTTATTTAGTCAGCTTTCAGATGATCAATTAAAAAAAATGTACCCTTATGACTGGTTTTGTGGTCCAGGGTCACAAACAATTATAATATAATCATTAAATTACCTAGATTTAAAAAATATGAGTGGTGCTTTCCCATGACAAAAATGTGTTCAAATGAAAGTATTATGAAACCTAACAACACTTTCTCATTTTATTATATAAAAATAAGCACAGTCTAAAACATCATGGCCTGTTGTACATATGTAAGATCCCACACCATGTTTCCTTTTTCCAAAAATGAACAAACCTTTCACTGTTAGTCCACAGAAAGTGGCAAACAGCAGTTTTTATAATATGGTGGCGCCATCTAGCGGCTGTACAGCAGATCACAGTGCTCGCCTGTCATCAGTTGGACTTGGACGGTCCAGCAGCTGGTTTTGAAGGTTTTTTCCCCCCCGCTGGAGTCTTCAGCACACTCAGTTTCTTGTGAAGGGATGTGCTGGCCTTCTGTGTGACTTCTTGTTCAATCCTGTTCCTGATGGCCACCTCCAAACCCTGCACCAAAAACACAAACACACCAGTCAAACCGCTATTATCTGACACGGACTGGTTTTAAAAGCGAGCTGAACGTTTACCTTCTTCAGCTTCTGCTGCTGGACCACTTGAGCTTTTTTGGGTGCGATGATCCTTCCTGGAATAAAGAGGATTTGAAGATACAAACTCAACTGCGCATGCGCGTCTACACACGCTCAAATGCGTTCGCTCTGCTGCTCATAAGAAATATCGATTTAACGTTCAGAATACTCGTCTGTTCAAGAACACAATGATTTCTTTACCTCCTTTCTTGAGTCCTTTCGGTTTGTGTTGTTGCTTTTTAGCTCCTCCGGGGCGCTGCGCTTTAAATTTCTGTTTGCCTTGAGCCATTTCTACGGCCTGACCGCAACCGGAAACAGAACAGACGTAGGACACGATATAGAATAAAAGTCTCCAAAAACGTTTAGGATGAAATTTTAAAAATAAAAGTATTTTCTGAATACCAAACAGTGTTTGTGTGTGCGTGTGATGTAGTGTAATTATAAATAAATAACCAATTTACTAATATGAATAAATAATAGGCTTAGTGGTACTGATTAAAATTGCAAACTAATTTTAAGACTAATATGACTTCGGTTTACATTTGAAGAGTTTATTTGCAAAAACAGATAAATCTGTTTTTATTAATTTTCATGTTTTTTTTACTGCGTTATCATGCTTTTATTGTGTTAGCTGTATTTTTTAGTTATTACTATTTAATCAAAACAACCCAACTGCAGTTTGATTGATATTAATTGGAATGCAGGATAAAAAAACAACAACATAATTCTAAAAACAGAGTTATTTGTTTTTGCAAATGAACTCTTCCTATGCTCCTTTGTGGTGCCCAAAGATGTCATGAAGGACTAGCTAGGTAGCTAGATTTGAAAAAACAGCCTACACGTAATACGCAAAAAACAACACTATTTTTGTTCACTGTGGCTTTATTAATAATAAAAAGTGCCACATTTTAAAAGGTCAAGCATGCCACAAAAGTTTCCCACCAGTATATTTCTTTTCTGGAACGAGGGCCCTCAAAACACACTCTCTCTCTCTCTCTCTCTCTCTCTCTCTCTCTCTCACACACACACACACACACACACGCACGCACGCATGCACACACACACACACACACAGAGAGACACACACACGCGCGCACACGCACATACACACACACACAGAGACACACACGTGCGCGCACACGCACACACACAGAGACACACAGACACAGAGAGACACACACACACACACAGAGAGACACACACAGACACACACACGTGCGCGCACACACACACAGACACACAGAGAGACACACACAGACACGCACACACACGGACACACACACAGAGACAGAGAGACACACACAGACACGCACACACACAGACACACACACAGAGACAGAGAGACACACACACACACACACACAGAGATTAGGCACTGTAGCCCACAAATGTACAGTTAGAAGTTTTTGATACCAAATAAAAGGTTAGGCACTTTTGAACCGGACAGAACGAGTGTTAAATAAAGCAATACATGGATCCCCCTGAACAGAAACCCACCGTCAATGACAAAAGCTCACAGTAAAACAATACGTGATTTAAAATCAGTCTCCATTCACACCAACCAATCACAGGCCTCGATTCATTCAGAGGAGGCGGGGTTACAGCAATACTGTGGGTGCTGGAGAAATCGAGTTAATGCTCTAGTTTGCATGGACAAGTAGTTATCATGATGAGTTCTTTCATTTTAAGACTTGGCTGAATCTTTGCATGAACACAGAAGGTTTCTCTTCTTCAGTTCTCCTCTGACTTAAATTACATTTTTGTATCTAAACTAGTGCTGTCAAATGATTAATCACGATTAATCGCATCCAAAATAAAAGTTTTTTTTACGTAATGTATGAGTGTACTGTGCATATTTATTATGTATACATAAATACACACACACATACAGTATATATTTTGAAAATATTTACATGCATATATTAATGTTCATATAATTTATATTATATATACATATATTTAATATATAAAAATACTTTTTTTCTTAAATATATATACATGAATGTGTTTGTATTTATATATACATAAATATGCACAGTACACTCATACATTATGTAAACAAACTTTTATTTTGGATGCGATTAATCGTTTGACAGCACTAATCTAAACCTGATTACTGTAAAAGGCTTTATCTGATTTAGTTTGAAGATGAGATCAGCAGATCTTCTCCATGCAGACCATATAAAGCAGACTTCATTTAAATAGTCAGATTCTCCCGATAAACATGGACTACAATCATTTAACCCTTTTAATGTTTTAATACTTCGACTCAGCGACCCCGAACATGAAAACCAAAAGCAGCCATTAAAATCATATTCATGTTGGTGGAAAATCAGAGAACAAATCAGCAAAATGCGTTTAAAACCCTTTTTAGTACTAGTTCTCCATCCGGCCGTAATCACCTCAAAGCTTTATGTGAAACAAAACAAAACATGATTGATCAACCATCATCAAAATCGATTAAAATAAATAATTCCTTGATTCCTCTGTGATTAAATAATTCAGCAATAATAATAACAACAATAATCAGACAGAATTGCACACGAATGGAGAGTTGCACTGTAGTGAAGGAGGCACTGAGGACGAGTCTCCACTTTACGACAACAAAACAACATATTCCCCACAATTCCCAGCAGCGACTGATCAACCACTCCAGCTTGTCCTGATTTGGTCTCCGTGAGAAATCTGTGGGTCCCCCCAAACCCGTCCCGTTAGCACAGGAGTCTCTCAGTGATTGGGGAAGGAGCGCTGCTGGATCACTCCAGTGTCACAGAGGTATTCAAACAAACGAGGCCTGGAGTCCCGAGTCGGTTCATCCACTGACCTCAGAGCTGGTCACCGTGATGGCAGGCGTGACGGAGAGGCCTGATTGGCCGGGACAAGCTGTCCGTCATCACCTCTTCTGCTCCCAGATCTCCGGCATGTTTAAGTCCAGGCGCTCCAGAGAGCGCAGAGCCTGCACGTTCTCCGAGTAAAACGCCACGTCCACCATCACCAACCTGCAGAGAGAGAAAGACCACGAGCTCATGTCATCAAGAACAAATCACACCCCAGGATTCAAAGAAAAAAACCTTTGCATCTAACAAAAGACTAATAGGAAATAACAGTAAAAACATACTCATTATTAATATATATTCATTATATGTAAAATAAATATTAAAGAAATAATATATATAGAGAGAGAGAGAAAATGTACATTTTTATATATAAAAATTTATTAAATATTATCTATATATAAATATATAAAAATACTACTATATTATATATGTAAATTTAAAAAATTATAAAAATAACAGTATAAATATTTATATATGCATTTATACACAATTTTTTTAAATATGCAAAATAAAAGAGACATTAAAGCATATAGTATTTTCTATAAAATGAAGCCTAAAATGAAGCTTAATTTTGTAATTGTCATTAGCCGGGTTTCCATCCAAAGTTGCAAATTTAACTTATGCGCAAAACTGGAACATCGCATAAAACATTTGCGAAGCAGCATCGTTTCCATCCAATGAGTCAAAGAGAACAAAATCGTCACTTCCTGATAAACTGTCACTATAAATCACTAAGAAAAGTAGGAGAATATAATAATTTTCACATGTAATAAATTACTAGAGCAGACGAAACGCAATGAATGCGGTCGGAGGTGGATGCTGCTGTTTGGGAACGCAGTCGTGTAAGACATTTCTGGGAGGCAACTATACAGAAATACTTTGATGACACACTTTGCTCGGGCATTTCCGAATGACCATAACAAACAATTTCAGAAGCTGTGAATGAGATCGGTCCGCTGGTTAGTCAGGTTTTGCCGTCCCATAGCGCAAAGTCACATGACTTTTTTGATGCGCTTGGAGGAATTTATTTGCAAAATGCATTTTCATCTCCCATTATTCGCATCAACCCTTTTTCGCACAAGCCAAAAACCACCTCAAGCGAGCGTAAAAACAATTTTTATTTGAAATTCGGCGTTTCCATCACTCGTTTCTCATGCGATACTTCAAAATGCGTGTTAAAATAGCTATAGCCACATTCCCATTGCTGTAACTAGGGCTCCACGATTATGACAAAAATCATAATTGTCGATTATTGCCTTGAAATTATAATTGCGATTGTTTATTACGATTATCACAATTTACATTGAGTGATGTTTATACCATTGTTTGATGCAACTGCATGCCGTATTTTTATATGAAAATAAACTAGCTGAAAACACTCTAACTGAAAAACCTTTAGTGCTTTTCTATAGTATTGAGCCTCAAATGTCAACTATACATCGGATTGGTTTCTTCTTTAAATTATAAAAAAAGTTAAAATATGAACGGTATTATAGTGTTTTACTAAAACTAAAATTAAAACAATGGAAAAACCCTTAAGATAACATGTAGAAAGAAAAAACCTATCTTAAGCACACAGAATAACATAAGTGGACTTTGAACGATTAATTGCCGCTTTGAACGATTACGTAATTGTGGCATCCACTGCGATTAGAAATTCGATTAATTGTGCAGTCCTAGCTGTAACACACACACTCACCCATACTGAGGTCCGCCGTCATTGATGACTCCCAGCCGCGCTAACTGTCTCTTCAGATGCAGCTTAAAGCTGGCGTTTATCCTGAGGAACAGCATCTACACACAAACACACAATAAACACCATGAGTTTATAGTCTTGGTTCACGCTGACGACTCAAACATCACGTGCGCGTCTCACCTGCGTCTGCTCCTCCGGTAAGAGCTCATTAATGGCCTCGTGCATCTTGGCCATCTGTTTACAGACGTTACGCAAACACGCAGACGGCATCGGCGCCTTCACCTCATACTGCAGAGAACACACACGCTTCAGCCGTGATAAACCACAACAACATCACAGAGATCACAGAGGTCCAAACCCACCTTAGATAGAGCCTTCTCAAACATGCTGTCCATGATGGCCACTAGTTTAGCAGAGATCTCTGCGATGTGATCGTTATAGTCCTGAAGAGAGAGGAAGAACAGAGTGTAAAACAGCTGTTGGCGCATGTCGCTGAGTGGTTTGTGGATGTACGCTTGTCTACCTTGGTGATGTGGCCGAAGTGTCTCAGTATGCTGTACTGTTTGGGCTGTAGTCTGGTCTCAAAGTGTGCTCTGATCACAGGGATGTAGTGAACCAGCAGCTGAAGACAGCGAGACGCCAGAGCTGAGGACACACACACACATCACTCTGACAAGAGACTTTAAGACATTTTTTAACAGCTGCACAAATCAAATTGAATCTTCATGTCCATAGAGAACAAACATAAATAATAAAACATATAAAAAAAATAAATAAATGCAGCTCAGATTGCTTAAAATACTAAAAACCTATTTGAT